TACGGGCGTAATATATCTTGATATAGACATGGGTATTTAGGAACTGGCCACTATATGACAGCTTTTGTTTAACCGCTTTAAAGCCCGTATAAGAGACACAATGGAAAAGACATCGTGTCTCGCGTGGATTCACGTTTAGACAAATGACGGGTTAAAAAGCTGATGAGTTCATTAACTCGTCGAGTACCGGTTTTACACACACAATTAAAGAACAATAGGTCGCGGTCACCGGTGACCGCTTGGTGTTTGACAGTTTAATTGTTGATTATTATTATTCATGAGGTAGTTCTAAATTTCTAATATTACAAAGACTAGATCTGACGTAGAAATGTGTTGCCTGATTTTCTCATACACTTCACACGTGGGTATTTGAGAATTGTATCAGTGTCATTGTAAATTACATTCGAGCTTGAAAGTAATCGAACTGCTCTGTTATAGAGCGTAAATTCCAACATGCTAATAACAAAAATGTAAAACCATTTATGTATTTACCATCTGAAAACTTCGTAATAATCCCGACGTTCAACATCAAATCAAACCAACAAAAAGGTAAAAACGATCAACAGAACAACTATACAGGGTCAGACTGGACTTGTATCCCATGATGATAGGCCTATTGGGCCCCCCAACAGATATTATTAGGGAACCCGGGAAAAGACAATAATGCTTACTACGGCAGGTAAAAAGCTTCGAGTTTGATGTCGTAATACTCATTGCCAATCAATATTAAGTCGCGCTTAAGTACATTTCTATCAATACAATTTTTTTGTAAAATGACAGAGATGGCACGATATTGACTGATGTGACATCTGTGATGTCAATGAATCTTATTTTATTTGAAATAGTTTTTTTCCACTACATTAAAATGAGCGCTGTGACTTGAGCGCACTCGGGTCACGGCGTTTAAGCTGAGCTCTGGCCTTTTTGCGCCGTCTTCGGTTTTTTTATGATATTGTACTTTGTAACGGTATGTAAATAAACCATTTTCCTTTCTTTCATATTAAGTACAACTTAAAATTGAGTAGCCTTTCAGTATTTTGGGATCAGTATCATTAAGTATTACTTATGACTCTTGGCTGTGAAATGACGTATTGGACCACTAACCGCTGTACTCAGAGTCATTATGGTTACTGAACCTAGTCCTTACTTCCTTAGCCATTGTTTTCGGAATAAAATCATTACTAAAGAATAGTTTAAGTAATCATTAAATGTGTCTGAATACGGTAGAAACATAACATAGCATTCACGCCTTTTTATTCCCGAAGGGGTAGAAGAGGTGCACATTACGGCACTGAATGCCACTACAATGTAACACCCACTTTTCACTATTTATGTTATAAGTCCCGTGTAATAGGGCTTAGTGAGCCTATTGCCATACACCGGGCACAATTCCAGGCTCCGTGCTACTACTAAGATTTTTTAAACCCAGTAATACTGTGCCCGACCCGGATATCGCAGCAGTCGCACTTGCGACCCCTCGGCAACGCGGCAGTACGGTCGGTTATGGTAGAAATTGTAGGTTATTTAAGAGATTTATATAATTATGCCAATTTTCATGTCATTAGCATCATTACCCTTTTACTTATTGGACAGTTGCCAAGTCTCTGAATCACTTTTTTTAAACTTTAGGCTCAAAGCGTTTTACCTATACAAGTGTAGATCACGTGGCTTTTTGTTATTGCCACTCGGGTCCCAAAAGAAAATATGAGGCCTTATATTGGGGCCCGAAGTCCGACCCTGTTCTATCTACATCACAAAACGGGGGAAGAGGGTTTATTTATGTATAAAAACGCGGTGTTGTGATTGAAAGCAAATAATTAATAATAATAATTGAAATTAGGTAACTATTATAATAATACGTATATCTAGAGGGGACTATTAATTAGAAAAACTTGTTGGTCAAATGGTTTCGTGGAACAACGCGTTTTTAGCTTAAGATTTAAATTAAATTCTTATTTTTTTTCACAATTTATATCACAATTCATTTGGTGTTCTTTAATTTTAGGAAATTTTTAAATTTTCATTGCTTTTGTTACTTTGAAATTGTATTTGAAGGCATTTTTCGATCGCAATCTGTATTTTAAAAATAAAGTCCTGTTAGTTACACTGTTTATAACTCAAGAACAGTTAAATCGATTTGGTTGAAAATTGGTGGGGATTTGAACCAAGAGACGGACATAGGGAGTTTTATCCAAGGATTTCCCAAAAAAACCCTACGGAAATGGGAAGTCTATATACGCATACGAAGTCGTGAGCATTTTTTTTAAGGTGTAAAAAACTCAAATGGCTTCTCTCGCCTGGGTAAGTCTCCTCTTACTGACTAAAAACCACCCCGTTCCTACTCCTGCACTTCGAGCCGGAGCCCCGGTAACCCCTTAGGTTCTCCGCGGCTCCGTATGGGCATCAGCCCCATTGGGCCCCATCTGTGGTGAAGTCGTGGGCATACGGTAGTAATTAACAATTTTGTAACAAACGACCAATAAATTTATTTACTCAATGTTTTAACAATAATTTTGATATTTCGAGTTGTAAATGGTATATTAAACACGACTTCTTTACTATATGGTAAAAGATTCCGTGAGTAGGCCCAATGCTATAGCCTTAAAATTAATAAATACTATGTTCAATCACATCTTTTATTTCTCAAAGACGTGTACACATATTTAACTAAAGTTTATTTCTGAAAGTAATTGTAATGCTGTGTCTACACGCTCGGTAAGCAATAGTAAACACCAACGAGAATATGGATGGGTATTTGTATGTACTTAGTGCCTGGTCTTTTTTGTGTTCAGAACAGAAACAAAGTCGTACTAAGGGTACTGCTCTTAGTACGGCTTTTTCTGCAAGCTCTCGTAGAGTTTGCAGAACTAAGGTCCCTTTTCACCAAGCTCTGTAAAAACTCAGTTACACGTAACCTAAGTTTAAAGTAACCTAAGTTCTGTGTTCTGTGTTTTCTGTACTGAGTTCCGTGTAAACTAGTTTCTGTTTGTAGCGGTGAAATGTAAAATGAAGCTGTAACTTCGTTTAAACGCTTTAAATTCGATTAGACGCTTTAAATCAGTTTTGTTAGGTGTAATCGTGATCAGTTTCTTTGGTGAAAAGGGACCTAAGTATCGTAGCAATTGGCGTTCCGTATTCTCTGTGCGTCATTCCGTAAGTTATGTATGTATTTGGTATTTATAGCGTGTGGACAGGGCATAAGAGGGATATGAGAACCCAAAACAGCGTTCACATATATGACGATGAGTTCCTTGAAAGTATGCGAGCGTCATTTGAGTTATAAATCCCAAGTAAAAAATAACAAGCCTTCAAAGTACAGTTAATCAATAATGGTTTAAACGCATCGTTCCAAAACCATCCGACCAAACCGAATCACATGCAAGCATTAATAAACCTTAATATAAGAGTCGTAATGGTGTTTTTTATGTTTTTTCCTCAAATAAGTGAAACGTATGTTTTTTAATAATCGTCTAAATCTACGTCGTCTAGCGGTTCGTCGAGCTGAAGAGATTGAAAATCCACTTTGTAACGAAGAATGCCTATTGTTAGTGTGTAAAAAAGGTAGTCAAAACGTGAATAATGGCGTAAAAACGCAAACAATCAAATAAAAATGTACAAAATGAGAGATAAAAACGTGAATAATCGCGTAAAAATGTAAATAATTGTGTAAAAAATGTTGTAATATTTACGTGTCCATCCGTAGGTGTCCGAGCAGCGATAAGGGAAAGAAATAGACATATGGTTAGTAAATAGTTTTAGCGTTAATTAGTGGTTGAGATGAGTCGAGTATTGAGCTAAACTTTTATTGATTATAAGTGGGTGTTTGGCCACTATCTCGCGTGCGCCTTAGTACGAATTTGTTTTACGTTTAAAGTAATCGAAACGAGAATCGGCGCTCTGATTGGCCGGCTCCAATGAACCAACCAATCAGAGCGCCGAACAAAGTTTCGTCTCGATTACTTTAAACGAAAATGAAACTCGCACTAAGCCCTCTGACTGCCCAGTAGCTCCAGTAGATTTTAAACACTGGACCCAACCGTACACTTGACCAAAGAGGTAGTTAAATTATCATTTATTTTACTTTATACACCAAATATCAAGGATTTTGAAAAAAAAATGCGGACATAGACATAGTCTCATGAAACAACGGCTGTGGCACATGGCTGTTATAGATTTACACGCAGAACACACACACATTGACGCGAAGGACATCTGTCGCGTGACATGGCGCGTTGTTACACTTCATACATTACGGTGTTGGAAGTACACGCACACATAAATACACCACTGACATTTTGGTGCTTCTATCATTTCTAGGTGGCATTACGTCCGCCTTTTTATCAAAGTCCTTGCTAAATGCAATATAATACTCGAATCATCTCACACTGAAGAAAGCAATATTTATCAATATTTTAAAGAAACATATTTAACAGGCCACATTCATATAAATTAAAATACATATTATACAAGTTGTGTTGCATCACCAAAAGCATAATTTTGTTAGTATTTCCAATAATTATAAATTCATCTCGTTCTTTTTTATGGACTAGTATGACGAACGAGCAGACGTATAAATTGACAGAAAGTAATCGGTGCCACCCAAGGAGTAAGAACCACTTGCAGGGCAACACAAGGGTATTCTAAGAGGCCGTGGTATTACTTTTTTATGGGATAAACTGACAGATCACCTGATGGTAAGCAATCGGCATCGCCCATAAACACCCGGAACACCGAGAGGCGTTACAAGTGCGTTACCGACTTTTTGGGGATATGGAATTTGAGGGTTGGGGAGATTGGGGAGCGGAGTAGTTGGGCTTCTAGTAACCTGACTCACACGACGAAACACAATGCAAGTGTTGTTTCACGCCAGTTTTCTGTGAGGCTATTAATAAAATCAGGCATATAACTTTTCAACCACCATAGTATATATCAGTTTGTTATAAGTATAGTTTATCAGTAGTTATATTACAAGTAAATAAAAGTATAATAAGTATACTGACCTCCGATCCCACCGAAGCCGCGCACAAACTGGCTGCCCTCCTGGCTCTTGTCGGTGATGATCTCGAGCGTGGCTCCGAACGACTTGTAGTTGTTGGCCAGCCACTCCAGCAGGGGCTGGCACTCTACCAGCTCCAACTCAACGCCGCTCTGGGGATTTATTATAGGTATTCTTAGTGATATGGTCGTCGTAACCCGTCGCCTGTTTTATCCCCTGTAACCCTACCGTGTTATGCGCCGTAGCCGCGCATGACACTCGATGGGTTACGGTGAGTTTTATGTGCAGTATCGATAACAATAAGAGATGCATTATTGTCGTCAGTTTTATAAAAAAAAAAAATCTAAATTTCGCATCTGAGAGCCCGCGACTTCGCCCGCGTGGGATAGCGATTCACAGCTCCTCCCCCGTAGTTAGTTAGTATTACTAGTAATATTCATGCAAAATTTTAAGTAAATCTATGCAGCATTTTTTGAGTTCATCCCGGACATACATACAGGCAAACAGTCAAAAATTCTAAAAACCATATTTTTGGTTTTGGTATCGACTGTAGATCACAACCAAAGCATTCTTTAAAAAAAATATTCTATGTACATTTTTCACTTTGCTACTATTTTATTATATGTATAGATGTTTGTGTTTGTGTGTTGTTACTCAATTACTAAATCATGCCAAATCAACTTAAGGGATCGGGATGAAATTTGGAATAGGGATAGATCATGATCTAGATTAACACCTCATCGTTCGCTTGATAAAATTGACGTGTAAAAGTGCCGCCTTGTAGCCTATTTGCAGAAATAAATTAACTCGTTTTACTTGTCACTTGTTTCACAAGATATTTTGTATACAACGAGAACGCGGGCAAAGCCGCTGGTGGAAGTTAGTATTAGTTATATATAGAAGCCAAATCTACCAATAGATAGGTCATTAGCCACTGGTTGATAGATCGCTTACTTTTCTGTGTCGTGCATCCACTCAAACCCGGAATAACAATTTTCGTTACATCAAGAATTGTTTCAAGAGGGAATCGAATCAACGGCACCTCAGTAGGTGAGTCACTTGCGTTCAATCACGTCATTTTGACCTCGAAGTATGATTGTGTAAGTGTTCTTAATTGTTGGTAAGACATCACGCCTTGTATCCCCGAAGGGGTAGGCAGAGGTGCACATTACAGAACTTAATGCCACTGTACAATATAACATCCACTTTTCACTATTTATGTTATGAGTCCCATATAATAGGGGTGAGCCTATTGCCATATACCGGGCACATTTTCAGACTTCATGCAACTACTGAGATTTTTTTTAAAAACCAAGTAATACTTTTCTTGACCCGGGAATCGAACCCGAGACCCCTTGCCCGGCAGCCGCACTTGCGACCACTCGGCCAATGTTTAGCGATAGTAATAAAATTACCTCTTTGTCGGTGAAATGTGACTTGTCCTTTTCCTGTTCCGGGGTCAGATGAAGGATGGTCTCCTGGTTGGTGGCATGAAGCTTCAGAACGTATCTGTAAAGCACGGCAGATTGTATTAAATAAAAATAATAAAATCATCAATATGTAAAATGTAATTAATAATTACTATAATTACCAATTTTTTTATTCATTTGTATAGTTTTTTTGTTAATTTTGTTTCTGTATTGTATTAATTTTTATTTCTTTTATTTAATTACCAAATTACTTTGTTTTTAAGTACCTAAATAATAGTATTTATATATGATTAACAGTATAACTCAATAGCGTAAGCTGTAGTGTTATGTATGTAAATTTTCTAAATAAATAAAATCAGTATATCATTTTCATGTTTTAACATGTTAACCACCATATGGACCATGCTAGCGGAGGATTTGCCCTCAACAATTTTCTGTTGGTTGTTAAATACCAAAGTTTTTGCCTAATGATAAAATGTGAACTAGCAGATGGATCATTAGATGGTAATTTACCAGGGCTAGGAGAAGGAATGGGGTGATTTTTAGTCAGTAAGAGTCTTACCACTCCTTCTCACCTCTCACGAGGCGAAATAGTTATTTTCCCCGCTCAAAAAATATAAGTTCCGTTGCTGACCTACAACAATAGGGTAGTTGCCAGGGAATGAAAATTAAAAATCGAATTAGTCTGTCAGTTAAATAATGAAAAATATTAGACACGTATTTTTTTATTTTCTCCTATTGACAATACTTAGATAAAATGGAGTTAAGTTTAGGAGAGGTCGTTCGTCACTAAGTGCTACAAAATGTAGCGTATTGTGACGTCACACGATATTTCAGATTATTATATCTTCGAAAGTATTTCATTTTGTGAGAAAAGAAAAAGTACGTGTCTAATGTTTTAAATTAATGTACCAGACGGACATTAAAATAAAATTTAAGCAACTACCCTATTATTATGTAGAGGGACAACCGCGGACAAAATTCAAGCGTTGTTTTACGCTAGTATTCGTTATCGACCCCGAACAGACGAAAAATAAGTAAGTTGGTTTCTTCATGTGTTTACCTCTGGATATCCAAATTCTCCCAGCAGATGAGAGTCTCGACGGCACCGAGCTCGAGGGCGCGCAGCGTGTCGTCCACACCGAAGCAATATTTGCCGGTGTCCTGTAACAATAATCATTCAATTCTTGATTGATCCAGAAATACACCGCATGAAGGTTTGTGGTACAGAGTAAAATGCCAAGCAGGGATTGTTTTTTTTATATTAGATGGGAGTGACATTTGACCACTATCTCGCCTGGTGGTAAGACGATGCGATACGATGGAGCCCGTCGACCCATAAGCAACCTATTCACTCGGGCCTTGAAGACACCCTTCAGGAAATACAGACTCTGGCAAAGAATTCCACTCCTTAGCAGAACGCACAAGGAAGCTTGATGCGAAGCGCTTCGTGCGTGTGGGTAGGACATCTACCATGAATCGGTGACGCTTCGCCGATTGCCTTGTGGTACGATGATGGAAAGGACTAGGGGGAATCAAGTTATGCAATTCCCCGCACACTCTCTGAAATGTATCCAGTAGAAGACTGAAAAGCTTGCAACCTTACGACTGTGTTCGAGGCTTTGAAGTCAGGCCTCCACAAGCGCATGATCATTGATGAGGCTCTTGGCACGCCTCTCGATTTGCTCTAATGCGTCCAGCTGATATTTGGCCGAGCCGTCCCAAAGATGAGAGTACTCCATACAAGACCCATTGTTTATGATGTAAGTATTATTATTTCACTCGTGTTTTTGCAAGTAAATAATAATCTTTGTCTTAGTTATGTAATTTTCTTGCATTTACCTGTGAAATCTCATCAAAGTATCTTCCAATGAGTTTCTTCTCCTGTATAAACTTGACGTTCTGCAGAGATTCGGCCGCCAGTTCAATGGCCTGGTTGAACCCGTTCTCGCCGCCGTACGACACGTCCACCAGCTTGATGATCTTGGCTTGCAGACGCTGTGGGGAATGGTAGTTATTAAGTTATGTTAAGTTAATTATAGAGGGTGAGCAATGATGTTCAGATGTTTATAGGCGTTTATACAGTATTTTCTATAATGCGAGCTCCACTACATAGTATAAAACAAAGTCACTGTCCGCCGTCTGTCTGTCCCTATGTGTGCTTAGATCTTTAAAACTACGCAACGGATTTTGATGCGGTTTTTTTACTAGATTAGTGATTCTTAAGGAAGGTTTATATGTATTAAATACGTGCGAAGCTGGGTCGGGTCGCTAGTTATTACATAAGAGGGTTTGCCATAATCCCTTCCCATTGATTAATAAGCAGGATTGAATTTAGGCCTCAAAGAAGACAGCGGCATAGTGGACACGGGCTGCCGTGCATTACACAGACGCTCTAGGAAGACACGTATAGTTCTCCATAAGAGGTGCCGTAAAAGGCATTGCACAGGACTGGTCTACTAAGTAGTCTCGGTGCCTTCTTCAGGTGCGGATAGGGGCCACCGGGGAGGTTTTAGCTAGGCGCCTTTTGAAGGTTTCCCCCCATCAACACAAAAGAAAGGTTGAAAATTTACTGTTTAAAAAATTCAAGTTTAATAATTTGTAATAACCAAACCAGAGGGCATGGTTGGTGTTGTATATGTAGAGACAAGCTCGGAATGAATACCCAAGAGTAGTTTTCTTTATAGGATCTTCTCAGTTAAAAATTCTTACTAATATTATAAATCTGAAAGTGAGTTTGTTTGTTTGTTCCACCTTCACGCCGTAACTACTCAACCGATTGCTTTGAATTTTTGCAGACGTAAAGTTAAAAGTCCGGATTAAATAATAAGGTACTTTTTAACCCGGAAAAATTGATATACCCGAGGAAAAACAAAAATATTGGTATAGATGGCGCTGTGTGTATTGGTATACGTCATATAGGCTACTTTTTATCCTTTTGTGACGCGAGCGAAGCCGCGTGTAAAAGCTAGTAATATATAGAAATAAAAACTACTTATACTGTAGCTACAATCCACTCACCGGATCAAACATATCAGACTGCGACAATTCAGTCTTGAAGTCAGCAGAACCGGCGAGGATAAGACCAGCAACATTAGGACGGTCGGCGCTGATGAAGAGCTGGGTGGCCACCTCAGCTACTTTACGTACGTAGTTGTGACGCTTCTCCATACGGAGACGAGCGAAACGTAGGGCAGACTGACCACCACGACCGTGCTTCTTCGGAAGGTCTACTGTGAATTTGTGAAGGACCTGAAATTGAATGGATACTTGATTAATATTTGTTTAAACTATACATAACTTGTCTCATCATTAACATAATTTTAGAGCTCCTGTCGCCTGTGACACAGGAATATTCCTAGTATTAGTTCTTAAGATCTTGTCGCTTAACTAAGATATTTTTTGCCTTTGTTGGCCATTGTTATTATGAATAAAGATTTATTTATTTATTATTTATTTGTGTGAATTGAAAAAGGATTTTAGACTTTGCGCTAGTAAGATTTAAGGTTCTATTAGTAATATTAGTTTGGTTGTCACAACAATTTGGTTGTAGCAAATGTTCTATTAGATAATAATTCGACCCAGATGTCGCGCAAGGGTCCTTTATTATCTTTGCTCGGACGCACCCTCAACGGAGTGAAAGCGAACCCCGCCAACGAGTTATTAGACCTTAGGTTACACTAGCAGTGCGAAAACTTCTATTGTTTATGATTATGAAGACATTCAGATACAATGTAAATTTATTGAATAAATGAAATGAAATAAAATGTTTGTTCTAGTTGATCAGTATGTATCTAGAATAGCCGAGGTTCGGTCCTCATCATTCTTTTAGATCAATTGTAAGAATGATAAACGCTTGTTGTTTTTGTTTGTAACCCGCAAAGAATTGTGCCCAGTATATGACAATAGCAGTGTTAACACTTATAACGAAGAATTAAATGAATTAGACATATTTAATACCAGTACCAATGTGTATAAATCTAAAATTAAGCAGAAATATACTCAGAGCTAGGAAGGGAATTATATCACGGTCACTTTATAAGAATGTAATTTCGTTTATCATTTTAAAAACTTTTTCTCTGTAATTCTTTCCTTTTTTTAATGTATACTAGTGATTTGACACCTTTAAAAACAGTGCCTTTTCGTATATTATAGTTTTATGGAACTCTAGGTCTGTATGTATAACATTGTATTTTAATAATTTTATTTGTAAGAGACTGTCTGTTTCCTGAATAAATAAAAATAAAATAAAATAAAATAGGCTCACCCCCTATTACATGGGACTCATAACATAAATAGTGTAAAGTGGGTGTTATATTGTACAGTGGCATAATGTACACCTCTGCCTATCCCTTCGGGGATAAAAGGCTAGATAATGAATGTTATGTTATGTTATGATAAACGCTCGTATACTGTAGAATCTATTAATGAATAGCCGGAAATAACGTAAAACTGACTTCCCAAGACACGGAAATGACATAGAAATCGATACTGTTGTAATCAGTGAACTACATTACACTGGTAAAAATTAAAAATGTTGAATTTTTCTTGAGTAGGAACTTACTAGGCTACTTTTATCCCAATATCATTTATATTGCTTCTTCTTTACTAATATTATAAATGTGAAAGTCTGTGTGTATGTTTGTTACTCAATCAAGTCAAAACAGCTTAAGGGTATTACCCTTATGATACTAATGTGTTAATAGGCTACATTTTATCCCACAGGAACGCGGGCAGAAGCTAGTAATTGAATATTGACTGCACGATTGGCGCGGTGGCTGGGCAACCGACTGCCGCGCAACGTGTCACGGGTTCGATTCCCGCACGGAGCAACTCTGTGTGTAATCCAAAAATTGTTGTTTCTGGCCTTATTGTCATGCGTATGTGACATTGTATGTTTGTAAACGCACCTACGACACAGGAGAAAATCCTACTTTAGGGTTACGTTTTTAAAAAGAAAAATACATAACAAACATAACATCACGCCTTTTATCCCCGAAGGGGTAGGCAGAGGTGCACATTATGCCACTGTACAATGTAACACCCACTCTTCACTATTTATGTTACGAGTCCCATGTAATAGGGGGTGAGCCTATTGCCATATATATACCGGGCACAATTCCAGACTCCGTGCTACTACTGAGAATTTTTAAAAACCCAATAATACTTTGCCCGACCCGGGAATCGAACCCGAGACCCCTTACCCGGCGGCAGTCGCACTTGCGACCACTCGGCCAACGAGGCAGTAAAAAGAAAAATAATATTATTATTTAAATATAACACATACCTCTCGCGTGTTACCCTGCAGCGTACCAAACAGGGCCCCGTTACCGTCCATGACGATGAAACCAAACTTGTTATCATCAGCCAGCAGAGCCGTGAGCGCTTCAGTATGGAACTTATTGTCACACAGGTACAGCGACGTGTTGATCGGCTTGAAGGGCTCAAAGTCAATGTTGACCTTCTTTTCTTTGCCCTCCTCTGTGACTATAGTACCGCAGTAGATTACGAGGCCGTTCGGAGGTACTGGAATGAGAAAACCGTGATTAAAGTTATTGTAAAGAACTAGAGGTAGGCAGAGGTGCACATTACGGCACTTAATGCCACTGTACAATGTAACACCCACTTTTCACTATTTATGTTATGAGTACCATGTAATAGGGGGTGAGCCTATTGCCATATACCGGGCACGATTCCAGACTCCGTGCTACTACTGAGATTTTTAAAAACCCAGTGTTACTTTGCCCGGCCCGGAAATCGAATCCGAGACCCCTTACCCAGCAGTCGCACTTGCAACCATTCGGCCAACGAGGCAGTCAGTCAGATTTTTGACTAGATTTTTTAATATTTGATGGACTGATGTTTGACCACTATCTCGTCTGGTGGTAAGCGATGATGTGGCCTACGATGGAGCACGTCGACCCATAAGCAAGGTATTCACTCGGGCCTTGAAGACACCCGTCAGGAAACACAGACTCTGGCAACGAATTATATCATTATCAGCTTGAATGATGATGATGTTGACCAAACTCTTTAGACATAATATGGTGATGGTAAAGTTGAATATATCTGTCACCATTTTTATTATTTTCGAGACTACTACAGATATAGAGACCGGTCAGCAGCGCTCTCTGATAAAGTAACCTGGTAAGCGTGAAGATTTTTAATAGGGTAAGCGAGCTTCAATGATATAAATTATAATTACCTTTAGTATAAAGCTTAAGCCTATGCTGTACGGAGGTGATGGCGCCGAGCACGGACAACCGATTCACTCGCGACTTGATGTTGGAAGCCGTACCGAATTCATCGGCCAACATTTTGGAAACCCGCGAGATTTGATCCTTGGGCGGAATTATCAGGGAAATCATCGAGGTCCCGTTCCTGGAAAAGATGGAAGAATTTAAATTAATATACATGGTTTCAGTTTAATGGTTATTAAGGCCAAATAAATAGGTGATCTGCATGTTTATGATGTTTGGCGCTCTGATTAGCCTGCTTTAAGTTAATCGACCAATCTCAGGGCTTTGTTTAACGTTTAATGAGATCAAAACGTTACCAATACCAATTATCCAAAACCGCTGGATTGTTCTCTGTATTTGACAGACAGTCAAATGAATGTCAAAAAATCAATTATATTCTGAAGATTTCTGATTAAGATCGGTTAGTTATGTTGTGTGGGACCAATGACGTAACTACAGGGTGGCATATATCGGTAAACTGCCACGGGCCTCCAGCTGGAAAGGGCCCCGTTCAGAGGTTTTCATCTGAACTCCTTTGTTTTTTACTGGGAACGAGGCCCGATGAATTTGTCACGGACCCCGAAGGGTATAGTTACGCCACTGCGTGCAACCCTTGTCCACACTACTCTAAACTGACCATGTACCTAAAACCCTCTAAATAATTTACGAGCGGTTCCAACTGTCCCTTGTGACACAGAAACGCCATTAGACGCTACCTGTTTATTTACAAGAAGCACGTTTAAATACTGAAATGCTATTCAGCTTTAAGTTGTACAATGTCACGTTCCCTCTATCATTAACGATAGTATAGTATTTAACCCGTTGAAAATTGTTGAAAATCATCCCCTAAATTTGTTCATACCAAAGTAGTATCTAAACATTGGAAGTAAGGTATATAATGTAGTTAGTGGAGAGTGATCACCGATGACCGCTTGGGGATATACTATATAGAGATAGATAGCTATATAGTATGTAACTGCCAAATTTAAAATGGTGAAATTCAAACGTCCACTAGCGTCATGCACCGGTGAATGACGTGGCAATCTGACGCCTGAATACTGCATGGCTACTCAATGTTAAGACGCGCTGCTTAACACATAGGATGCCGTGTCGGACAATGATGTCCGACGCTAGCGGAGGATTAGCCTTTAACAGTTTTTATAGGCAGTTAAAAGCTTAATTATAGTTCTGTCACTACAAATTCTTTGTAAAATGAATGACAAAGATGGCGCGATATTCAAGTATAACATAAAATTGAGTAGGTAGCCTTTCAGTATTCGACCGTGAAGACTATATTTTACTGGTTGCGTCGCCATGGTGTCCCAATTAAATATAGCTCTAACGTTTAAAAAAAAGCTGGCTACGAAGCTAATAGAGAAGTGGAGCGAAATTGCAGTAAGCTAGCAATATAAATTCATAACTTTTTTTAATCCCCAAAAAAATCTATTGCGGTAACAAAAATCATTACAGCTTCTGAATATGATAATTGGAGGGAGCAAAGCTCTTCTAAAACTTAGGGTTGTAGCTAAACAATGAAACGACGGGGTTGGTACAGTCATCGACCTATCGATCGGCGACACCCCTAACTACACGTGTCACTCAAACGAATTTTGGCAAAGTTTTTTATTAATTGTATTGTTCGTATTTGGGGCACACGTTGTCTATTCAACTGACTGTAAAAAGATGGTATTCCTGTTTATTTTGGTACAATATGGCCTAGTTTTCTATAGTTTTATTCATAAAATAACCATATTATGGGAAGTTAAATGCGAAAGTTTTTATGCTTGGTTGCTTGTATGCTCTACAGGGTATGGGTCGCAACATATTCCATGGCTCGCAAGCTAATTTTTAGTGAGCCTTGTCAGTATAATGACGCACTAACCAACTGTTCTATATTTTATTTTTCATATTGGTTATAATTTAATATTCTAATCGTGGGTCCAAAGTTGCGGAACTTGGTTAAGATAGATCGTAGTCCAGAGATCTTTGGGAACCACTATTTTTGTATATGGAGGTCCTCACTCCTCGTGGTACATACAAGTACACAACGCCCTGATGAATCTGCATATAAAATTGCAAGAAAAGTTACTGCTACACCATAAAATACTGCTTTTTATTATAAGCTTTAAAAAATTAGGTCGACCTACACATTATTCAACCTTGCCGATCCCTTCTGGGAAAATCGACCTTAATATAATTAAAATTATACCTTGAAAATAATGAAAGTAGCGCGAATTGTTAACATAATTAGGCTAAACTATTTACCACGCCATTCTGTGTTCCATTTCACATAGTTTTTACCATATACCTACGTAACTACGTAGCGACCGAGTATGTATTTGCTTTTAGTCGTAATGTGATATTTTAACGTACATTTTCAGGGGTTTCGTTATGTATAGTGACAATTATTATTGTAGGAATGTGACTAACGTTTGGTCACATATGATTTTGAACTCAGTCTTGGATATTTAAGCAATTTTAGATAACTTGATCAAGAAGGTTTTCATGGGATAAGGGGCAAACGAGCCGACGGATGATCTGATGGCGAGTAATCTCTGCAATCGGTGCCGCTTATGGACATTCGCAACGCAAAACCAAAAAAGATAAAAGCGCGTAGTTAGCTTTGTTAAAATAGGACTGCGCTCTTTTATATATGATAGTTTCGTTTTTGGTCCAAAATATGGCATTTCAATGGAGTTTAAGGATCTCCTAAGCCAAGATAGGTCACACTTAATGACATTTTGGTGTTCACCAACCTATGAGTGACACACAAAGGGTTAGTTTAGGAGTTTCACGTTAAGTATCTAACTTTTAATTAAGAGATAGTCTAGTAGTAAACTCGTCAGTACAGACAACTTGTCACTAGATAAAGGAAAACTAAAATATGAAAGAAAAGAGATGAAAACTTCTCTCTAGTTCGCTTGCTAGTTTGCACTTTAACCTTTAATAAAACAGTAGGTAGCTAAACTACACGTGGACCAACATTGCATTCACCTTTAGAGTACGTCGGCGTTACAGTACAGTTAACGCTGTATTAAAGTAGCCAGCCAAGCTATTTAATATTCAGGTAAGAAAATAAGGATTGATTCAGTACAGAGACAGTAATCATTGATAGACTACTAAGCTGACCAATAGTTACAAAAGATATGGCTTCATAATTTCGTGTAACAACAGCTACTGTCTCTGTACTGAGTCAATCTTTGGCTAAGGACTCACGACGCGATCTCCACCAGCGCTCGCCGCGGTTGCGGAATGGAGATTTATTTTCAAAACTCACGAGATCGAAGAATTCTGCGGCCCCCAGCCGCCGCGATTGCGATTATCGCAAGCAAACTTGGCGATTATTATCGCGCGGCGGCGTGGGCGGTTAAACAATCAGTTGAGTTCCAGACTGGCCGTCCCATTGCGATCGCCCGCCAATTGATCGAAGAGCGCGCGGGTGCTAACCGCCGCGGCGCGTCGCCGGTGCAGCGAGAACCGCAAACAACCGCAACCGCCGCGGACGTTAAACACGCCGTGCAAAGTGCTTTGGTATTTTACATACTTATTACGCGGCGGGCACGGGAGAAAATCGCGCCATGGGTCCTTACTAGTCCTTAGCTTTATTTTTCTTACCTGCATATCAATTAACTTGGTTGACTGTACAGATCGAGCTATACAAAACCATGATCATGACCTCGCTTTAATCATCTTTCAGCATCGACGGTCATTTTATACTGTTCTTGCATATCTTGATATGTCGCCGTGACGGTATTTGACCTTTAAACTGTAATATATCTGCTTGTTCGCTGGGGATATCCATTATTCAGGAGCACTGATAATGATAACCTTTGCCATTAACGTCAGAATTATGGAATTCTTTCTACTAATAATACCGTAATGTCTCATTGTAATTGACAAAATGAATAATAATAGTAAAGAACGATACAATCGTTAAAATGGTCGTTCAAAGTCGGTTTCTATAAACAATTTGGACGTATTAATTTTGATAATAAAATATGTCCCGTAAATTAGGTAGAAAAACGTGTTCCATAATGGGTATATTAAAAGTATCATAATTGTAAAGTTTGATTATTCCAGTTTGTTAATTAAAGAAATCAATACAATAATTTTGTTAGTGTTGTATCAATCATACATAGAATACGACATGAGAAATTCTGAAAATCCTTTTCTGCATAAGAGGGTTTGCCTTAATTTCCATGGTCAACTGAGTTGGACATGGCAGGTTAAGAGATTCAGGTTTTCGTCAGATAGCGGTGCTGCCCTATCTCTTTCAAATGTGTAGTCCATTAGAGTCGGCTCTAACGACACTTTTGAACAAGTAGATACAGTAAGAAATGTCTTCTATTCTGCCATTAGCCGACAGTTTTTACGTTTACATTCTTGAATATCTCTAAACCACGACTTATTTTTTTATACTTTATAGGTCGACGTTTGACCACCATCTCGCCTGATGGTAAGCGATGATGTGTACCTACCTATGAGCAATCTGTTCACTCGGGACTTGAAGACACCCAAGTCATATTTGACGGGAAACAGACTCTGGCAAGGAATTCCATTCCTTAGCGGTTCGCATGAGGAAGCTCATGAGCATATTCCACGACAAAACAAAATCTTTTCGAGATAAATAACTGACGACGCGACGCTAAACGAACCTTAAAGGGACAATGCTAAAATATGGCGTCGGAATTTCACACGTAGACAAAACCGTTCATAAAGTGTTACGTGCGAGAAACAATTGGCCGGTAACATTATCCCAGTGTCGCTCAATGTCACGACCAAACTTGTACAAGGTGAGTTGACAGAGTATAAAGGAAGTTATGTCTATGTACATAGCGTATATTCCGGGTTGTGTAGAAACAGCGGATGATTGATTATAAAGCGATTATTTACAATGATAGCGTCCGTTAACGATGGTTGTAACGTGAGAGATTGGCATATTTTTTCAGTCACACGTTTTGTTCTATAGGTAAAAGGCATACCTACCTACAATTAAAACTTTTTATGGAATAAAAACAAATGAGCAAACTGAACACCTTTTTTTGAGGGGGAAAATCATCTAATGACTTCTCCCAACTTGAGTCAGGCGAGAGAGTGTCAGACTCTTACTGAATAAAAAGCACCCCGTTCCTACTCCTATTT